CATGCCAAACACATGTTAATCTGTGAATGATTCGCTGAGAAATACGAGGGGCATCCGGAAAGTAGTACCCGTTTGGGAATTGAACATAAGGAAGTAAATATTAACAAATTTAAATATGTTCATTAAAAAAACATGTATTACACTACTTCTCTATATAATCTCCGGACAAATTTAAGCATTTGTCGTATCTTGTCACGAGTTTTTGTATACCAGTGTCACATTCCTCCGCCGCCAGTGTATTGAGATACGCAGTCACGTGTTCTTTCAGTTCTTCGTCATTTTGAAACTTTGTCCCTGCCACGAAGTCCTTGAGTTTCGTAAACAGATGAAAATCTGAAGGAGCCAAGTCCGGACTGTGGGGTGGATAGTCGAAAATTTCCCACTTGAATTTTTTGAGAAGTTGTTGTGTTATCCGAGCCGTATGCGGCCTGGCATCATCGTGCAGGAGAACGACGCCAGTAGACAATTAACAGACATCGCCGTCGATTTTGATTTTTGAATTGCCCGCCGTAATTTTTTTAATGTTGCACAATATGCATTGGCATTGACTGTGTCTCCACGAGTCATGAAATCGATGAGCAGTACACCTTGCCGATCCCAGAAACACTGGCGGCGGAGGAACACGACACTGGTATACAAAAATTCATGAGACGCTAAAACAAATGCTTAAATTTGTCCGAAGATTACGCAGAGAAATAGTGTAATACATGTTCTTTTCAATAAACATGTTTACATTTGTTAATATTTAGTTCCTTTTGTTCAATTCCCAAACGGGTTCTACTTTCCCGATGACCCTCGTAGGAAACCGATGTTTAGATATCTTTAATATTTGTTTAGCACTTTGAAACCATCCTTACGGAATTCAGCAAATTCATATTCAAATTCTCATAAGATGGAGGTTCGGAAGTAGTGAGACTTCCTACGTGACAAGGGAAATAGATGCGAAAAGACTTGCAGCTACATCTATACTTGCCGAACTTTTCAGAACATGGACAATTCTGTACATTTACAGCACTTTGTAGTTCCGAGACCGGAACTACAAATATAGCAATGCATTGGGGATAAAGTTGAGAGAAAATAGGTCAAACAATTGAGCCCAAATTTTACGCAACAATAACGTTCGTTTATTCGTTTGTTTATCATCATAAGTTCTGTGTATGCAACTCGTTTAATAATCAAAAAACTGAATCAAATTTCCGCATCGCAAAGTTCAAGAAAATATGAAAAAAATTTTAGAACTGTCTTTTATTGATGGAGAATGCTCAAAAGCCTGGGTCTACGTCTGGTTACACGTGGCGTTATTTCAAAACTATTAACACAAAAGGCTGCAACCAGCCATCCAGCATCAATATTCGTCAAGAACTATGAAAAGTTGCTGGCAACACGGACGGTCGACTGTCATCTCTAATTTCAACATTCCAAGTAAAGAAGCGAAGAAAGAACAGTGGACCGTAGACATAGACATTTGAAATCAATACATGATCGATGAAATTACTTACCAGGAGGACGAAATACTGCGCGTTGACACGGACTCATCCACGTGCCAATAATCGAAATTTGGATGCTTCATTGCGCAATTTTTTGTGAAATCATCCTTAGATTTTGTCCGATGCATGTCTCAATGAATAAGCAAACCATAAGAAACATAAATCCTTAAGCTGACAAGTATATATTTATCACTATTTTCCGTTTTGTAATCGAATCCGCAACATCATTTCTAGCTGCTATTTTAGGAGATTTGGGAAAAATATGAATTTTTTTGCGTGTAGTTTACTCAGCATAGACAAATTAAAGTACCAGGGCCTATACTTTCAAAAAAAGTTAAGAGATCGTAAGTTCATCAGCCAATCATTGACGGCCTCTCAAGCAAAATCCACCAATCATAGACAAGAAAATAGAGCGTAAGTACTTACGTTAACTTAGCGAGTTTTGAAAGTATGGCTCCAGGCTATTGTATAAGTAGAATTTTCAAGCCTGGACGCGGCCCAAAAAGCATTTCCTGCAATCACTCGCTATGTAAGCGACGCCATCCAAAAAAATTCACTTAAAATTTCATCTGCGAGAAAAATCAAGTACACGCATTTTAATCAAACGTCAAATGAAATAAGCAAGATTACGAAATAAAAAATAACAAGTTTCAGCATTGCGACATTTTTTGGAAAGATAACAGTAAAATAATAAGAATAAAGGAGTAACAAACTGATAAAAAGACGCGTCGATGACAGTTAAAAATAGTTAAAATTGGCAAGAGGTAAGGTTAACCAATAAATGAAATACGATTATTTGATATTCAAAATAATGTTTATGACTAGAAAAACTGGGTAAAATGATTTGAAAAACAATTTTATTGAAATCTAAAAGAGCGCAATTTGCATTTAAAAGGGGAAAAAACTTTTGAAGGGGGAAAAAACAAACGATGAGTAACGGTAATTCGAGTAACGGTAGTTAATCGAATAATATCAGGAACTTGAGCAAGGGGCTTACTAAAAGATATATCATTTTCTAAAAAACAAAGAAATACCTATAAATAATACTTTAGTTAAATTGTACGGAGAAGGACAAGAAGGTTGAAAAATGCGGCTGACTAGCAAATAAGAGTGAGAGTACAAACATAATAATCTTTGAAGCAGCGCAAACTGCATGCGTCCGCGAATAAAGCACACACTTTGATCACTCATCATGCAACAATTATTTTAATCATCAGGTTTTCTTCAAACCATAGAAGCAATTCTACCATAGATTTATAAACCGGAGTGATACACTTTAAAAGACTGGGACGCAAACAACTCGAGGACAAACACGTCAGCCAACTCACAAATTCCTTTCAGATCTGCGGGCGATTTTTGTGGGAACCAAAAACAAATTGCTGTGGAGTTCTGAGGAGCAAATTTCGAGTGAACTGTGTCAGAAGAATGCAGTCCATTACAACAGTTTCTTTTTCAGCTGACAGTAGTTCTTTTCCCACGCAAGATGTGAATTAGTTTGGACAAAAACGTATTTTAGTTTTTATAATTGCATATTAATATACATTTATTTTCGTCAATAATACTTAACATTTATAGTCAGCTTGTCTTTTAACGCAAGATTAATTTCCCACCACATACGTTCTCATAAAGACAAAGATTGTTGTTTTTCTCCTTATGAAAAATTCGGCGCCTTCCATCACCAGCATGAAAAAGGGGCCACTAGATGCCCAAAACAAGACGGGACCATCACGGAATAATTTCGTTCTGTACCATGGCAGGCCAGCTGCACAACAAGGGCTCTAAGCATCGGACGAAGACAACATGTCATAATTAAAGAGTATCAGATCAATAAATAACAAAGAGTTTTGTTTCTAAATAACACGAGTAATTCACGTACGGTTTACACGCGGTGGTCGCTGCATAAAAGCAGCTCGAAAAATACATCCATATATGTATGGCACCGCTGCGAGCTTTTAAACATCTAGCCAGTTCAACATTTGAGTACGCGAGGATACTATTTTAAAAAAATTAGATGGAAATAGGATATATTTTTATACATCACAGAGATTTGGAAAGCTGACATGAAACTTTGGACAAAATGTTTCCCTTTTAGTTTAAAGCTTTTAAAATAATTTCCAAGTGATGGTCAGGTTTCTATCGAGAAATTTGCTCCGAGAAAAACGTGATAATAGAGTTATACGACGGCCATGGCCGCCGATAAGACGGCCATGACCGCCGATAAGTCGGCCATGATATATATATATATATATAACATACTTAGCAATGAACCAACGGGAGCTCTTGAAAACATTTGCGGGCTGGCTAAATATGAACAGCAATGAAAATCGGAATTGTCAGCAGAATACAAGCAATAGGAATGATCTCTATCAGACTGATAAGATCTAATGAGTGTGACGAATAACAAATTTTCTACCTTTAAAGTGAATTCTAAGACAGAATAGTTTAATAGTGACTGCAAAGAACGGCTAGATTGTTTGGCTTTGTCGCTGATGCCTCGGTAACTCCACGGAGAAGGAAGTCAGGCTCATTAAACCTTAATGATCAAGAAAAACATGAGAGCCTAATTGCCGCTGCGGCCAATCTAGCCAGCCCCCGTCCATATGAATAAACTTGAACACGAGGGCTGCGATTTGCCAGAGTGTTCCCAGGCGGTTCACTGCTGTGTTGGAGACGTAGCAGTGAACCGTCACTATTAAATATTCAGTTCGTACGTTAAAAAAATTCACCTTTTATTTCTCGCACGATGTCATGTTTAATGCTGATACTGACGATACATATGTCGAAATTTAACCAAAGATTATCTTATTAGTGTGACCATCATTTCAAAGGTGGTGAACAAGCTCCACATCTACTGAATATGTTCATAACAAATAACATGCACTTTTTAGTCTCTGTGTTTAAACAGCGCGTAACTTTTCGGCCAAAATATATTGGGCCTAAATTTTAAATGAATATTTAAAAAACGCCGAATGGCATTTCAACTTCTCATAGCTGATGGATGTAATGTAATTCAGAAATGCATGACATAAATCATGATTACCTAGGCATAATAAATAAACAATGGTTGGGGAAATGACTGGGGACTGACGATAGAGATGAGAATAGAGCGTGAGGGAATAGGGAGGCTGTCAATGGGAAGCGGCATGTGTTAGTCAACAAGAGGCTCGGCTTTGCTTACAATCTCTCAAACAAACCGCGCAGAATTGACTGCGGGTCCGTGAACAGACAAGGCAACAAAGCGTGTACGCGCACCTGTAGAGGACGACTACAAGCAGACGCCTGATGCTGGCATGAGGCGAAACTGTTCAATTTTGTAATATGTACCAAATTTCAGCCTAGGTACTAGGTAATTAACACATATTAGTTAGTAGTATCTGATAGTATCTAGTAGTAGTATTAGTAGTATCTGATATTTCAGCTATACACATAGACTTGTCGCCAAAGACATACGGTACATAAAAATACGTATATTTAAGCCTTTGGTTGGCTTCTAGACACAATTAACTAACTCACTTGATGCTGGAGAAGTTCGGGCGAGATGATGTAGCGAGGGGCTTGAAAATGTGCTACACGCGGCAGCTTTTTTCATGGTCTGTACAAGAGCAAGTGGTCTGTACAAGAGTTTATGTTCACCAGTGCACACAATCGCTGATGAAGCTTCACAAATTAGAATACTCAGGAGAAGGCGTTTGACAAATCCTTGAACAAACTGACACTTTCGAGAAAAAGTCCTAAATATTGTTCACACACTTCCAACACTTCAATGTCACTTCCAACACTTCAACGAGAATCGGGAATAGATATTTATACCCGGTACTTCTTGCTATTTATAATTATTAGTCAGTATCAATAATTTTTGCATCAATATAGAGAGTCATTCAATATTATGCTTACAGTTATTTAGCCAACAGAATAACAACTTAACGTAATATCAGTCAAATCTTTTAATAACAATTTTAATCACAACAACACTATCAATTTGAAGGATTAGAGTTACATAGAGAGATAGGTAAGTACGAGGGTGAGCCTTAAGTGCATATCTGCCCAATGTTAACCACTGAATCTGTAATTTTCGTTCCCAGAGCTTGCTCTATGAAATAATTAATTAAGATAACGCTGCATTACATTTTTTGTCAACGACTAGACTCAATTTTGGTGAAATGCATTTCCGTTTAGATAAGAACCCTCGTCTTTTGTTCCATGTAACATAAATATTCACAACAGAGACATATGTATATAAGCCAAATCTTGTACCATGAACTCAGTTGATAAAAAGGACAGTAGGTAACGAATTACTCTTCGTTGAGGCTGCGATTAACTACATTAATTGATATGTATTAATCTCAATGTTTAGTCAGCCCGACAATCACAAGCCCTCGTTCAATTTACTGGCAGTGAAGTGGGCTGGTTTGCAATGACATGAGTAATAATTAATGCAAATATTACCGTCATGTGGTGTAAACATGAAATTCTGAGCAAAGCAAGATGGTTTTAACTTCAGTTTTCATATATCAAAATTGAATCGCGTATGCTGTGTGACAATACTGTCGCAAACTAATAAATCCAATAAACTTCTTGCATTGATCAGACGCTCCTTCTAGTTCTTAGATGCAGAAGCGATGAAGTTAATTGTTGTTTGTTGTTGTCGTGCGCCCGAACCTATATAAAGTTTGGAAACGCCGTGTGGTCACCGAAACTTGAAAATGACAAAAATTTAGCAGAGAGTGTTCAAAGACGTGCAACCACGACAATTCCAGGCTTGAAGGGCAAGCCTTATGAAGAAAGATTAAAGATTATGAAGTTTTCAAGCCTCAGTTATCGACGTCTGCGTGGTGACCTCATTAAAGTATATATGTATACTCATGGTTTATACAAGGTCCCTGGATTACTAGAATGTGAAAGAAGAACAAACACCAGGGGCCACGGCTATAAGCTAAAAAAATATAACTCAGTACTCACTGCAGTGAGTGACAGAGAGCGCGTTTTCTCGTCGACGAAAACTTGAGGTCACGGACGGTCAGACGGACAGACAGACAGACAGACAGACGGACATGGCGAGCACAATAGTGCATTTTTTCCATAAATGAGAAAATGCGCTAAAAACTGCGATGCAACTCATCCACGCTACAACACTTCTTGACGCTTCGAGTCACGTGGACATGTGAAACAGCCTCCCTGATTGACATCGTTGACGCTCCGAGTATGAACGCGTTCAAGAACAGACTAGATAAAGCCATGGAAAAATATATGTTCAGACTTGAAATGCCTAGCACCATATCTAACCTGGTGGAAGTCTAGTAGCTATTTAAAACTATCGTCAGTTTCGAAAATCCGGTCAAAGGACCTGTATTCAAATTTCATTTGAATAAGTCACGAAAAGTGCAAAATTCGGCGACAGGCCACATCAGGCCTATTCTTCTGCGCCAACAGCACTATATGATTTGACATGATATGATATAGAAATAGAATGGCGTCGGGTCACAGAGGGTTCAACATCGACATATAATCAACAGAAAAGAAAGTATTTATTTATTTGTACTAGCAGTGCCCAGGCCAGTAATTAAATTCAACCAATGACGGACGTTTCTCAGCGTCATCCGTTAATTAATTAACTAATGTAAACATAATAGTATTGAAAATAGTGACTAATCGATGTAGTTAGAGCACTTCCGGTAGCATTTTAAGTATTTGGCCCCGTGAAATGGTGCATTACGCACTATTTCGTGACTATACTTTACAGTGATGGAACTGCCTATCTAGTTAAAAATATGAGCGAAATAGGACAACTTTTCTCACAGTTATGTGTCTTTTAAATTTCTAATAACTGATTTTTGAAATGNGTATCGTACGAATAAAATTTGCACTTGGTTCCTTCAAATACAGAAAATTTCTTTTGTGCATGTAAACAATTTCGATCAAAATAATAATTATACTAACAGAAAACATAAACGCATGAAAGCTTGTTTGGTTGCTGTTAGAGTTAATTTAGTTTAAATTTAGAGTGCCCTTGAAACTTAACGAAATTATAACATAAAATAGAATAACATGTTAACCCTTTCGTGACGGCAATCTGTTCTACAACTTTTTATTCCTATTTTTCTACAGAATCATCATGAACTTGGACTGAATATTGCATCTCCGTAAAAAATAATTAAACATATGTTAATGGTAGAATAGAATAGAATAGAAGTGTCGGCGTTGAAGAAATAGGCCCATGGCCTGTTGCCGATTCTTGAACTTTTCGTGACTTGATTCACAAGGGATCCGGCCTTTGGAACCCGATCTTTCCATAACTGAAATTAACTGGTATAAATTATATATTTGGGACTAGAAAATCCCAGTAGTATATGGTTCCAACTGAGGTGACACATTAAAAGAAACAATCGAGCTAAAGGTGAGACCTCAAGATGACACCTCTAGCTTCACAAAACACTTCTCTGTCATGTTGGTAATGACTGCAGCTCTCTTCCATACCACCACGAGTTTTCTGCTATAGCAAACCCATGCCTATCGTAACGATAGTGTCTTAATCTCAACAATGAATATCGAGTCCCACACATAACAGTTTCCCTCCTCCAACACTGGTTTTCTGATTAAAGAAAGAATGAGGCATTCACCGAATTTTACGTTTTGTAGAATAATGAACGTGGATCAGTGGATGTTCCACCTTTGTAATTTTGATGCCACTTGTGTCCGACTATAGCAAAACTTTCAAGTATTTTACAACAAAAGTTTGGCCTTCAAAAGTACTCCTGGTGTTAAGCCATCACACAAATGATTTTAAACTTTTGATCATCGGTAATAATTAATAAGAGCGTTGCATGATGACCACCACACCCTCACGGAAGACGCGCTCGACTGCGAGGCAAGCAATTCGGCCCGGCCAGGCGCGGACCTCGCCATGTACACACGAACACACGCGCCGCGCCTCAGCCCTCAAATGCATCCTCCCTCCGCAACGTCGACATGTGCCGTCATGAGCAGGCTGGTCCAGCACGGCCTCAAGAGTCGACATAGACATTTATAAGCATCAACGTCGACAACGACGTTGATGTCTGTTGGCGTTGATGTCTGTTGGCGTTGATGTCTGTTGACATCAACGTCGACATAGACATTTATAAGCAGGCTGGTCCAACTCGGCCTAATGAGGCGTAGTGAACGAGTATGACGTTCCGAACGCCTTCAAGAACAGACTAGACGAAACTATGCAATTGCAAATTTTCAGTCTTGAAATGCGAAATGCCTAGCACCTTACTGTCACGAAAAGTACAAGAATCGACAACAGACCATGGGTCTATTTCTTCAGTGCCGACACTTCTATTCTATTCTTAAGAAATTTTGACATCAACGACGACATAGACTTTTAGAAGCAGGCTGTTCCAGCTCGACCTGATGAGTCCTATGTAGTTTTTACATCAACGTCGACATAGACCTTTATATGCAGTCTTGTCGAGTTTCAGAATATAACGGAGCATTCATGGAAGGCATCGAAAGACATAGTTTGTGGATTAGCAGAAATGTAACAACAATCAAAGCGAATATGTGGTATAGGCCAGCCTCGATTCTAATTCTGGAAATAACTGCTATGCATGCATTTTCTCGTATACAAATGGCTTTCTATTTAACAACGTCAAAAACTTATCTACAAAGTGAGTTTACTTTCATTTATACAAGCGGGTTTCTTATCATGTCAGGAAATGGATACAAACAGGCAAAAACCTGGCGAGTAGCGCAGCTGTTGTTGTTGTAGTTGACCATCCTGGTAGTGGCGACTAGGTAAGGGAGGGGGTGATGGTCTGTTTTTCCGGGCACTTGGTGCCACTGGTAGTCCCACGACCATCACTGGCTTGCTGACCCGCCAGATTGCCAGAACCATTTTTGCATTACACAACACCCTGGACAAGCCAGGTACTCATTTATCAAACATAGTAGCGCAGCTGTCCAGGCTCTCGCCTTGCACAAATTCCTCATCATGCTCGTTTTGATCGCCATCGACACTTAATAATGAAACGAAGTGTCCGCATGCGATGCCAGGAACGCCTTTGCGCCTCCACGCAGAGACGTATTGTTACTTCTCCTGCGTTTTCTAATTTCCAGGATTGCAATTCAGGAGCATGAAAGTGAGCAGTATTGTTGATGCTGGGAAGTCGCTATATAAGTAACTGTTTCATAATCGCAATGGGCAAACATTTCATTATGTCATAATACTTATTTTTTGCATTGCTTTATAATTACACTTCTCTCTTTAAAAATGCTAATTTTTATGGTTATGTGTGGTTTAATAGTTCGTTTTTTTTCAAGTCAGAATAGAAACATTTAATAAAATCTATATTAAATAAATGCTGAAGTTTAGTATACGGTAATATTTCTAATTTGCTGGTTATATCAACCGTATGACAACGTACAAATTTATTTACGCATCTCTTTTGCATTGGGGAAATTATACAAGTTTACCCTAAATATCTGTTTTTTAGTCACGAACATAAAAAACAGTTTTTAAGGCTAGCTTCGTTGGAATTTCTGATATGAATTTCGTCACACAGATTACAGGGTGATTCGCGGAAACTTCCTGTTTTGAATTTCGCGCCAAGCAGCCAGATGTTGTAGGAAAAAGGCGGGGAGTATTTCATATTAAAGACAATGGACCGTACTTTCAAAACTCGCTTAACCACACATATTGGCCTAAGTACTCTTAGCGGGCAATTTTTCGTCTGCAACTGGCGGTTTTAGCTTGGAAAGCCATCAGTGATGATGGAGTAATGAACTCGTAACAATGTTGATAGTACGTCTCCGCGTCATAAAGTTTTGTGTTCCACCTAGTCAGTTGCCCCTATTTATTGTACAAATGAGCAGCATGCATTTGCTGTAGAGGCATACTTTTCTATTGGCAGTTCAATTATCGTTGCTCGACTAGCATTCTGTGCTCTGTTCCGCATTCGTTCATCAGGTCGGGTTCCATTGAGGAAAACGAACGATGGTAACGGTGACTGCAGCTCCTTTCACA